ATATATATATATTTTTATTTTACTGTCACAGCTCTAACCCTCCTTTCTATTGGCTAGGGGCCGGCAAAGGGATCTGTTTTAACCATAGAAATGTTTTTATTAACATCCCATCATGGATCAGTCGCAGCAGCAGTATTCATTTCATGTCTGGATGGGATGGATATCTACCTGCAGCAGGGAGAGCCGCAGCGTGAAGAAGCCTCCTGTCGGTGCTCTGGGACCGGGGAGGAGGAGCTCAGCAGCACAATGGAGAAATGCGTTCACGGCAGAGTCTCTCAAAGTCTCAATAACACCAGAAAAAGAATTGCTAGATTTTCACTAGTCACTTTTCTGAATAACAGTCTCTAGAGGGTCTGAAAACTCTGTAAATATAGCGAGGAAGTCGCTAAATCATCACCGCTGTGTTCCACAACCCGCCACCTCTCATGTAAGCGAGCAGCGTGTCTGGTCGATTACGTCATACTCTGAAGCGGTCAAATTATCGTACATTATGGGATTTTTGGGATTATTGATCGTACATCGTACAGAGGGCCAAATTATCGTACAAATACGATAATTATCGTACACCTGGCAACACTGGGCCTCGCTGTACAAAAGGCCACTGCATTTATTGAAGTTTCAACCTGCCACATGCTAGGAGATTCTTCTTGCAACCAACCAGAAGAAATAACGTGAGTTAAATGTGATAAAACACATGCAGCGCTGTGAAAAATAAAGAGACCACAGCACAGTTATCCTGTATTTGGTGGAAATCATTCCATCAAAATGATTTGTGAACTCTTCCTGAGTTAAAATAGTGTTTTGATTCTAAAAGAATATGAAGTTGTTTACTTGCGTAATTTGAGGTTTGACAGCACTGCATCTTTATCATTTTGGCCTTTTCTCATTTTCTGAAAGTAAACTACTTTTTTGCTTTTGATTTGTGAGACATGCTATAAGTTCATAGAATAAAAGGAAAATGTTAATTTCACTCCAACATATACCTATAGAGTAAAATCAGATAAAGTTATAGTTTTGCAGTGGTTTCTTTACTTTTTCCTGTACGTGTGGGTGTGTGTGTGTGTGTGTGTTTCCATCCATGAATGTGTGTCTATAAACATATAGTCTATCAATACTTATGACAGTGTTGTGCAACGTCAACTAAGAAATAACAATATATATATTACCAGCAGCTCCTGACCTCCAGCAGCTGGATCATGCATACAGCAGAACTTCAGCTACTGGTTCAGCAGAGCGTGTTGAGACGGTCCCGCTCCCGATCCTTGAGGACATCATACGTGCCTGTGCTTACCTGACTCTCTTTCAAGCACCCATATGCAAGGTAACACTTTAGCTCTATTTATTATGACTTTGGTCACTCACTTCATTTATTTTTTCAAACAGTAACTGTTCTTGTTCCAAAATTGAACTTTAAAATACAATAGAAATAATTAAAGTGTTTTGAGAAGGCCGCTTTTAATTTTACCAAAAACATTTTCCTAAAGAAAAAAAACACAACAGTGTGAAGAAACAGCAGAAGAACACATTTTTTCATGAAACATTCTTGAAACTATTCTTCACTTGAGCTCTGCTTGCGTGTTTCTGCTTCAATCAGATCAGCTTCTGTTTATGTGTGACATTTAAAGATGCTTGAACTTCTTGCAGGCCTATCTGATGGTGTCCATGGAGACCGGATGCGGGCCTAGGTCATCAGCTGCATCATCTGGTTGAGGGTCAGGATCTGGCACAGCAACCAGAGGCACGGCATACCTGAAATCCAACAATGCATAAAATGTGAAAACAAAGGCAAAATAAAAGAAGTTCAAAAAAACTTAAACTAAGTGTTATTGTTTTTTAAAGTATACAACACCAACCTGCAAAATGGCAAATAAGGTTCCACGCTGCAAATGTCCTTATGAAGATCAGCAGTGTTTTTTTCATTCCGGTCATCAGGATGTCGTGGGTCAAAAGCCAGGCTGTTCAACGTTTTCCAGGAGACCTTCTTGAYGCCAATCTCACGCCTTAAAAGACACCTGCATAAAAATGTCATTTATGTCATCAGTAAGTTCATACAAATACGTTAAAACAGAAGTCTATTGTTGTGGCAAATGCCACATTTACCAAAACATCTATCAAAATAATGACTGAGAAATATACAAGCGATTAAATATGTGGAAAATATTTAAAACATGAAATAGTTCATTTGTAATTWATTTTTATCAAGTGTAATTTTATTATTACAGTTTGTGATAGAGTTTCTGACTTCAAATTGCTTGTTTGGGTATTTGTGTTATAAGGATAATATCAAATGAAATTTGGTATGCTTGTTTGTCTTTGTGTCTATGGTGTATAATGATATGATTGTGATGCTGTAATTCTGAGTGTTTTCTGTGCTGCAGAACAGGAACCTGCTGTAAAACAGCAATTATGCTGAGTCAGGCTTGATTTTTTTTAAATAATCTTTTCCTGTTAAGAAAAAAAAATACATTAAAAATAACTGATTGTTCGACTCACTTTAAAATTTGCTGCTCATCATATGTAGTTCGTTCGGCCGTTCGTTTTTGGGCTCGTCCCTTCCATGAACAAGGCAACTGGGTGCAGGTTGGTTTACTTTGTGTTTCCACCACCCCGCAAGCCTGATATTGCTCCAACTCAAACAGTAGTGCGGGCACATGATTGCAGCCACCTCCTTGTCTGCAAGAAAATTCACACCAAATTCATTACAGCCATACCGAATTTGTCATTATTTTAAAAAAGGCAGGTAAAATATATTGCTTTTAATTAATATAATATTTATACACATCAAATAGGAGGGTTTCACGTGACGTCACGATGCAGTGCCACTAGAGCGCGAAGTTCGGATGGAGTTCGGAAGTGAAAAAGTGGAGGATCTGCTTTCTGAAAAAATGCCCATATCTTGTGTAGTTTACGAGTGCTCCAATCATTCTAACTGAATCAATAATAAATAATTATACACTGATTAAATTATATATAAAATCATGGCTCTTTTTTATTAATGTTCGTCATATTTTAAGCACGTTGCAGCAGGAGGATGTAAAAGAGGGTTGATTCATGGGGGGAAAACACCTCATTCCACCTTCAGGTGTCACCCCCACCCCACCGAACAAACCTAACCCCCAATCTCATTTCTAACTGAAGCTTGAAAATATTAGACAAGCAGCAAAAAATCTACAGGAGGAAAAAAATAAAGAGGTGGAAGTTGAATAAAGTTCGGCTGCGATGGAGAGAGCGTGATCGGAAGTCAGCAATGAGATATCCGAAATTTATTACATTTATTGTATTTGTATAACTATATTCCATAGTTAGGGTGAAGTTTAGTTAGTTATTTTAGTGTCTTTGATGCAAAAAAAAGGATGATGAACGTGGAGCTCCAGTCCAGCTGCTTACAGGTGGACCGAGTCGAACCGAGCAGCAGTTTGAGAGAGGAGCTCAAAGGCAGAGATGGAGGAAAAACTGTCGGAGACAGAGTGAGGACTTTGATGAGGAAGTAGGTGATTCACTATTTTGATTATACAATAAGAGGCAAGAGAAGAAGTTCGAGCACCGAGCGGACTCTACGGTCCCGTTACCGGTCTGCCGGGGCAGACGATGCGGCGCAAACTGGATGCTAACTACACCGAACAGCTAATGAAAGCACATAAACAACGGGAGG